GGATTAATTCTTAGCTCTCAACTTGGTGAGATCTTATAACTATAATTATGATTATAAATTTCATATCTTTTTATATTATTAAAAAAAATATTATAAACATCATTTTCTCATACTAAAAATATAAAAATTAATATTTTTTCTTTCATGTGTTTATAATATTTTTGTAGAAAGAATTAATATGAAATGAAAACCATCAATAATAATAAGAAGAAGTTCCTTTCTACGGTGCCTTACTTGCGGTTCGAACCTCACCATGCATGTTTGTCACCCCCGCGGTGCACACAAGCTGTCCGAACACCCATGTTGAAAAGAAAAGAAGAAGTTCCTTCCCTCCACGGACGTTAATAATCGTAGTGCACACAAGCTGTCCGAACACCCATGTTAATCTAAAAAACAGAAGTTCCTTCCCTCCACGGACGTTAATTAACTGCACCAACTGACAAAGTCATCTTCCACGCGCCTATAAATAAAATGCCCCTACGCGCGATTTAAACAAAAACCCCCTCTCTTCTACATTAGGGTTTAGCAATTGTTCTGTACAGGAACTTGAAAATCAAACTCCAAAATGTCAATTTTCGCGGGAAATCTAGCCTCCAAAGTCCCGTTATCTCTTCGATTTCGCGTCCCCGTCATTCCCTGGTAAGATTCTTCTCTCAAATTCATTTACCCTCTGCTTGGTTGCTGAGAAAATGAAGGAAAAGGAAAGAAAGTTTGTATTTGGCCAAATTTTTCCCTCTTCTTTAACAGATAAACTAAAGAAATTTAATTTATTTTTCCATTTAATTTTGTGTTTTTATGATTTTAAGCTTAAAGATTCAAACTTTTTTAATCAGCTAAAAGTAATTAGTCTCTAATAATGAAGTGTTTATTTATTTTGATTTCTTTTTTGGTTAGTTAGTTAAAGTGATAAAGTCTTGATTTTTTTGGAGGGATAAACAGTTAAAAACTACAGCTTTAATCAGCCAAAGAGCTGAAGCGCTCATATATGTGCAATCTTCATTTATTTTTGCGGTTATAGTAAAAATGGGAAGTGATCTTGTTGGTTAAAATGATATGTTTTCGATACTTTGTAGGGTAAAGACAAACAATGCTACACTGTGTTTGAAAGGAAGGGAGTTTAACAGTTCATCAGTTCCGGTTAGATACACTCCTAAGAGATCTTCAAAGAGTGATGAGATAGAGAATTCTTTGCCTATGAAAGGTGATAAAAAGATGGTATTTGGTAAAAATTTGGATGGTGTAAGTGGAAATTTTGGTTTGAATGACAAGGCAAAAGGTCGAATGGGTTATGAGAAGAGAGTATTTGAGTATCCCTTGCCTGTGAAGAGTTCTGAGAAGAGGGTATTTGATAAAAACTTGGATGGAGTAAGGGGAAATTTTAGATTGAATGAGAAGGTGAAAAATCAAAATCGAATATGCAATGAGAGCCTGTCGTTTGATGATGCTTGGCAAGGTAATTCTGTTATTGACAATGTTTTCCTTTTTTCTTAATATTTGAATGAGAATTAAACTCTGAGTGGATGTTAATTATTGATTAGTATCTTGTATTTATGTGGCATGTGTTTATGCTGTTAGGATTTTAATTATCAGTGATGATTTGGAAAGCTTATGCATGTATGAGCTTCCAGCTGTTCCTTTAACCCGCTTGCTCTATACTTGATGAGACAATCGGGTTCAGGACATCGGAAGCATATATAAATGACCGGCACTATGTGCTTCCACAAGTGCAAGCTTTCAAAATGATTTAGTTTCTAGTTTTCTGGTTATATGCAGCTTAAAACTGTACATTTGGAATTGGTTAATAGGACTTTAAGCGGTCATCTTAGTTTTTGTTCTCATAGTTTCCTACACCCACCCTCATCCCTTCTGTGCATGTTCATTATAAGCAAGCATCAGTACAATGCCATCATTAACAATATTTTGCATGTATAGCTGTGTGTTTCTGTATACCATTTCCCCATGTCCTCGCGCTAAGTTCAACTTCAATTTGTTTATGTTCATCAGTCAAGCAAAATGCTCCAAAGGTAACAGCATTTTCACAGTTAGGAGAAAAAATCAATCATGAATCGGAACCCAGAAGTCATGATCTCATGGGGGAGCCAGAAGAGGATGTTGAAGAGAGTGTAATGCAACAAGAAAAGGATATTTCTAATCAGAGCATGATAGTGCATAAGATTATGCAAGATGCTGAAATGGTGGCCGTTGGTTTACTTGCAAGAAGGTTAAAGCATAGTTTTAATTTTATTGCCTTTGTTATTATTCTTTGTTGGTTGTTAGCAATGTCATTGAATTGTTTCACTTCTTCACTGAAATCCAACATTGGAGTTTTGCAATTCAAGTAATTCATTCCTAATGGCAATCATATGTTAGCAATTGGAATACCTTCATTACATTTTCCTCTCACGTGTCTCAAACAGCAGTACAATTTGTAATAATTACTTATGGATTTTCTATGCTTGCTGCAGTAACATATTTCACGGTTGTTAACCCTCTTAATTATTTAGTCTTACAAAATGAACCAAACGTTACGTTAAGACCAGAGATCTCAATGCCCCTCTAATTCTCATGTTCCATCCTGTTAGCTAACTACCATTGTAGTTTGAGACTCAATTAACTTGAATTGCTTGGATAGTTATAAATGGAAAGGATATATATATATATATATATTACTAATATTGTTAAGGGCACATTTATCTGTGTGGAGCTTTCACCTTAAGCTTGTTTAATTTCCTCACAGAGCATATACAGCAGTTGAACTGAGGAAGAAATTGCATGGAAAAAGATTTCCTCCTCATATCGTGGAGGCAGTGATTGGTGATTTCGAGAGCAGGTGCATGGTTGACTTTATTTTATGAAGTTTTATTTTCAGGCTGTCTTATGTGTTCCCATATTCTTGTTACACGCTTTTAATATTTGATGTCATTGGCTCTTTTCACTGAGGAAATTTTGTGCTTCCACAAGCATTAAAATATAGACCTTAATCTTTTCTTTTTGTTTCAGAGGGCTGGTCAATGATGGCTTGTACGCAGAAACATATTCTCGATCTAGATGGTCTTCCTCAAGCTGGGGACCTAGGCGGATCAAGAAAGTAATCTAATTCTCTCAGTTCATCCTTTCTTGACAAAATGTCTAACTAATGCTGCATAGATAACATTATTCTATCATTGTATTCTGTCCTTTTTCCAGTTAGCTTCATGTTCAGCTTCACCATCTGTCACCTGATAAATGTCACTCTATTTTTATCTTTTTTATTTTTTTTAAGAAAATTACATTTCATAGCTAGAACCTAGGCATCTACTGCAATATCTCATTACTAAAGAATCCATTTATTTGGCGAACTTGATTTGGAATGGTATCTTTAGAGGAAGGGTCAAAATATAATAATTGTAGTTTGTTCTCAAAAGTTTTGCTGGTTTGTTTTTCTGAGATTGCTGGCAAAGAGAGATAGGTGTATGGAGTAGGTTACCAGAACAGTTGGTGAAATGCTAATAAAGTAAGCTGCAGTGAAGCAATATGACTTAGACTTCAGATTTTATGTCATTAACATGCCGTATAATGCAGTGGCTCCTAGCTAGCTGCAAGAGATCAGGATTCATATTTATTGTTCTTCATTGATGATGATAAGATGATTGCTTGTTAGTGAACAATGACTTTAGTGGATAAATTCCAGTTAGTGCACCTTTTCCAATAGAAAACAAGAAAAAGAAGGGAAAGGAAGAAAAGATAAATAATAAATGTTTTTAGTTTCTGTTATTTGAATGAAAAATGTGTTGAATACTTGGTATTGGAGTGTTATTGTTTGAACAGGCGTTGTCCAACAAAGGAGTGAGTGAAGCTGATACAGACAAGGCACTAAAACTGGTTTTTGAGGATGGTGACTCCGACGAACAAGAATCAAAAGTGGGCATGTCAAAGATTTCTATGGATCAGCTATTGATTCAGGCTTCAAAACAATGGCTTCGAGGTCAGGATGTTCCCAAAGATACACGAAAATCAAGACTTATTCGGTGGCTTCAGTATCGTGGTTTCAACTGGGATGTTGTTAATTTTGTATTGAAGAAGCTAGAATCACAGCACATCTCCTAGAGCACAATAAGAGCCATTCCTGGTGCCAACTCAGGAATGAATGTGGGCCATTCCCAAATTAGCTAATGGTCCATCTGGTCACTTGAATTGTAAAAGTTGCTTAATGTGGATAGAATTACTGTCTCCATTAGCACACACTCGACTGTGGCCTAAATGTTGGACACTTTAACTCTTACTGTGCAAGTTTTAGGTTGCATCAGCATACCCCAGTGTCATCACATCTTGTAGACTGAAGTCCACCTGAATGAAGACAACCTCCAAGACAAAGCGGCAAGTGGAACAACTAGATTTTGGAAGATCATCACAGTTTTTACACATAATGGGAATATTCATGCACCCATGAAGTGCAAAATTTTCTTTGAGATCTTGTGAGTGTTGGTTTACATGTCAATTCTTCTGATGTGCCCTTGAACACCAAAACCACTAATTACTCCACTTCCGTACCTCATTTTTATGACTGTAGAAAAATACTGGAACTTGTGTATATTATTATTAGACAGAGATTGGACTGCCTTATGTCTCGCCTCTGATAACTATAATTTTCGAGTGGGTCTCTAAACCTTTTGAACGTGAGCAACAGTTGTTTATAAATCATTATCTTGCTATTTATAAACGGGCATGATGGTCCTGCTTGTGCATGTGCTTCTGAATTAAGACATGCAGTCTCTTCTAAACGAAGTTTAGTATCCTTTGAAAGAGTTTTTTCTTGTTAATTGCTGGAAAGTCTCTCTCAGACAGCACATGGTCATGTGGTGAAATAAACGTGGGTCCATGTGAACTCGGCTGGAAAGACTGATCTTATTGTGTGTGTGCGGGGGTGTGTGTGTGTGCGTGTGTGCGTGAGGGGGAGAGAGAGAGAGAGAATTCATTCCATGGGCGGGGGTGTGTGTGTGTGCGTGTGTGCGTGAGGGGGAGAGAGAGAGAGAGAATTCATTCCATGGCAATAAGTTCCAATTACATTGATCCAAATGAACAAATCATTGGTCCAGCTTCTACATAGCCTGCAGTCATTCTCTTGCCACTATCCCCACTTCCAAGATAATCCAATCCACCTCTAGTATTGGTGCTATCAAACAGCTTTCAATCTAACCCTCTATAAGCCTCAAAAGTTCTTATTTTTGTTACATTTGTCAATGTTCTTGACTGAATTTACTCGAAGGAATCAGTAGTACAATCTACAACACCGTGTATAGTGAAAACTACAATTCAAAAGGGTAAAATTACACTAAAAATTCCCACTGTGGTTGCACATTTTAATGGATCCTTCTATGGACAAAAGCACTCAAACCTCCTATTTTCCGAGGCTTTATTCAATATTTGATTGAATCATCTGAGAAGTCAAAGGAACAGTTTGAAGATCCTTGTGAAACGACAATCCTAGCAGGAGGTGATGAGCGAACGGCTGTCAAATTAACCCCCTTGGACAGGTCAGGTTCTGCCCTTACGGTATCGACGTGCCGAATCTCCTTTAACATTGCAACAACATCCTTCATCATTGGACGATCATCAACTCGAGTGCTGATGCACAGGAATGAAACTGCTAATGTTTGGAGCATTTCATGCATTGTAGGGTCAGCTCTCCCTATAAGCTTTGAATCAAGAATGTCAGCTGGATCTTTCTTGCTAGCTAAATGTTCCCTAACCCACTGAACCAAATGAGCGCCACCAGGCAAAGTTGGGTCTAATGGATGCCTCCCTGTTAAAACCTCTAGAAGCACCACGCCAAAACTGTACACATCACTTTTCTCGGTAATACGCTGCATCGACGCATGCTCTACGGAAAAAAACCAAGAACAATTAGACATGATTAGTGATTTAGTAAACTGAATTAATTGAAGTGAAAAAATTAATTTGATTGAACCAAAATCAAGAAGTACCTGGAGCCATATATCCATAAGAACCAGCAAGTTGAGGTCTTTCAGTTGGCTTGCAAAGATCATCATCAGAATTGTTATTCACCACCCTTGCTAGGCCAAAGTCAGCTAGGTAAGGTTCATAGCCTGGCCCTAACAGAACATTCATGGCTTTAACATCCCCATGTAGAATTGGTGGGAGACAGTCATGGTGCAGGTATGCAAGTGCATGTGCCACACCTAACAAAACGTCATATCGAGCTTCCCATTCTGCTCCTCCCTTGCCAGCACCATGAAGGAGAGAACTCAAGCTTCCATGTGGAAGATAATCATAGAAAAGCAACTTCAAATTCTTGTTTGAACACCAGCCCAGAAGCCGGACAATGTTTCGGTGTCTGATTGAACCGAGAGTCTGAATTTCAGAATTGAAAGCACCAGACTCTTCTGATGACCACATCTTCTTTACTGCTATCATCTCCCCGTTGGGAAGAATCACCCTGTACACAACTCCAGAGCTGCCAGTGCCTATGACATTAGATGACGTTAGATTTTTTACTATGTCGTCAACGGAGAATTCAAGCTTCTGATACAAAGTCATTTCCCAAGTATCATCTTCCATCAGCCCATGACTACCAATGCGAGCACGAACTAGCATGTAGATAGCTAGTAGTATTAGAACTGCACTGGCACTGAGAAGAACAGACATCAATAGTTTCATTGCTGATCTAGTGTGTGCTCCGGGTCCCAAGTGGACTCCTGGTGTTACTACACCTCCAGCAATGTAGAGACCTTGATTTGAAGCAAGGTTACTAAGTGGAAGCTTTCGAAAAAATGGGGTGTTAGGCAATTCACCAGAGAAATCATTGAAGGAGACATTAAGGAAAACAAGGTTTTGGAGATTTGCAAGAACATCTAAGCTTCCTTCAAGCTTGTTGTGAGAGATGTCAAGTACTCCCAACTTGCTCAGATCAGAGAATTGGGATGGGATCTTGCCGGAAAACTGGTTGCAGCTAAGATTGAGAGAGATTTCCAGGGCTGGGATTTGACCAAGTTCCTTTGGGATTTCTCCAGAGAAACCATTGTCTCCAAGGTTAAGCAATTGTAGCTTACTGCATGACAATATCTCTGCTGGAATTCCACCTGAAAGTTGATTCTTCGCCAAATTAAGCTTGGTTAATTCAATCAATGAACCAATGCTATGAGCCAGTGAACCTGTAAGCCTATTGTCTGAGACATCCACATACTTTAGGCTTTTAGGCAGAGTATCAGGTACAGAACCAGTGATCCCATTTGAATGGAGATCAAGAAACTCCATGTTTTGACATCCAGATATTGATAGAGGGATTCCTCCAACAAGAAGATTGGTACTCAAATCAAAGAAATTCAAAATCTTCAAATTTCCGATCTCCGATGGAATAGTACCTCCTAACCTGTTGCCATTCAGCCTCAACCTATACAAGCTGGTGCAGTTACCTATATCAGGTGGTATAAAGCCTGATAAATCATTGGAAAGTATCAGTAACTTGCTGAGATTCTGCAATCCAAAAATCTGCTTGGGTATTGAGCCAAAAAGACTGTTATATGATAGATCAAGAGCCTGAAGATTCTTGCACTCTGAAAGAGACTCTGGGATATTGCCTGTTAGATTGTTCTGCCAGGCAAAGAATAGAGTCAGGCTCTTTAGGCTGCCGATACCAGCAGGAATCTCACCGGAGATTTCATTGTTGTCTACTTCTAAAAGACTGAGAGCAGTACAATTGGTGATTTCAACAGGTATGGTACCTGTTAACTGATTAACACTCAGCTGCAGCCCTTCAAGCTTCAAAAGGTTTCCAAAGCTTCTCGGTATGCTTCCTGTTAGAAGATTATCGGATAAATCAATGACTGTAAGCTCTGTGCAACTTCCAAGTTCATCTGGGATAGCCCCTACTATGCTGTTCTGCCACAAAAGCAAACTCTGAAGCTTGCTGAGTTTCCCAATTCGCCTCGGGATTGGACCGGAAATAGAATTCTGATACAGATACAGGTTCTGCAACTCACTGCAGTCTCCAATCTCTTCTGGTATAGAACCTGACAAGAGTGTTGTGTAAATGGCTACCTTTTGAATCCTTTTCAGCTTCCCAATTGATGAAGGAAGACTCCCAGAAATGCTGGTTTCAGCGAGCCCTAAAACAACCAAGTTGGTGCAGTTTCCAATCTCCTGAGGCAGCTCACCCTTCAGATTTTTATTCCCACCTGCTCTAAAAATTTGTAATCTGCTTAATGCTCCAATGCCCTGCGGAATTTCGCCACTGAGTTGATTGTCGAAAAGAGTCAGATATACTAGACTTGAGAGGTTTCCAATACCAGAAGGAATGGCACCTTCAAGAAAATTTGTATTGAGAGACAAAGTTTCCAACTTCTTTAGTCTGCATATTTCCTCTGGGATTTCACCTGAGAGAGAATTATCACTAAGATCAATGAGAGCAAGCTCAAGATAATCTCCGAACGCTGCCGGGATTGCACCAGTAAGATTGGTTGATGAAAGGATAAGGCTCTTCAAGGACTTGAGAGGCTGAAAATTTGAAGGCAGTGGGCCTTGCAAATTTACAGCTTTCAAGTTTATCTCTATAATGTTGCCATTTGAGTTGCAATGGACCCCAAACCATTTGCATGGACTTGAGTCTAAAGGGTTCCAAGAATTTAGTACATCTGTGGAGGTGTTTAAGCTGTTCTTCCATGCTAAAAGAGCTTGGCCTTGCTCGTCAATGGAGTAGCAAGAACGCAAGAGAAGAGAGTTTATGGACAGAAGTAAGGTGAAGGAGAAGATATTGGGAGAAAGTAAGAGATTCCTTGGAGGTGCAGGCATTGCTGCTGATGGAAGAGAAGAGTTGGTCTGTGTTGGGATTGTTGAGGGAGGAACCCCATGTTTTGTTTATAGAAGAAAAGCAGAAGATCTGGATCCAAGTCCACCACCTTCTTTTTTTTATTTTTTATTTTTTCTTTTTAATTATTAATATTGTATTTGACATAGCTGTTAATTCAGAGATGATGATGCAGACGGACACTAATTTGGTTTTATTCAAGTAATTAGTAGATGGATGCTGCTATTGACATCACCTTCTTTTGCTCTTGCTGTCATTTACTAAGCAAAATGTTTTTGTACTTTCCTTCTAAAGTTCAATTTCAGTTTGCTACATTCTGTACAAAACTTTTGGAGTTTTTTTTTTTTTTTAAGGTGATATTCTCGGTTCTTGTCAACAGTGATATGTAGCTTAACTTAGCGACTCACCGATTCAAGACTAGGTTCAAGACTAGACGTCGATCAGGTTTCAAATTAAACTAGATGAAAATTAACTAATTAAATACAGTTAATCCAATAAATCAACCAATTCCTAGGTCGACTCATCAAAATCCAAATCCATGCTGGATGACTTGTTTAACCAAAATTTTCCTTTCTATAAGATTCATATTTAGAGTTATTCAATTTGGTTTCCAGGTCGAGCTGTTGCCACTCTTCTGGTCACAGAAGAGCAGAGTCAAGTTAACAGAAAAATGGTATCTCCCAATATTTTTGATTGACTGATATTATGCTTACAAGCGAGTCCTGAGGCTGAGAGACTGAATGAAATCAAAGAGTAACATCTTCAGGGCATGATTTATTGATGGGTTTAGATTTTGATAGCTTCAAGATCAAACCAACTTGACACAGCAACCGTTGGATATGTGTTAATTTGTCGACGATCCCATGAATCCAAGACAACTGAAGCAGGTGGTCCATCGTTTTATGTGGTCACAGTTGCTGAGCCATTGTGTGTATTGTTAACCTTTAGCCTCTAGTAGCTTGTCAATGTTTTCAAGCAGCAAAGTAAACAGCTTGGAAACTTACTTTAGGCCGATTTACAGGAATTACCATGAAACATAGTTAATCTAAAATAACATACACAACCCCCTCATCAAATCCCGGTTGGGTCTTACCGATTCAAAGTTCCGATCATAGGTTTATCTCGTTAGTTTATAAATAATATTGTTTCATTTTTTTAAAATAAAACATTGCTATTTTAGATGGATAAAAAAACTGAAACAACGTTAATGAATCACGGAATCACAAAGTACAGTGAGGTGGGAGTACTAAAGATGTATTTAATACTTGGTAAAATTCTAGTTAAGAGAGAAGGGTTTAATGGAAGGTGTGGAAGGAGGTGGAATCCATGGTAAACAGTGAAGAGCACATGAAAGCAAGGAATAAGTGAAAATTCATGGGAATTTCTTTCTTAAATTAGACTGCAAATCTTGTAGTTCTGTCGGGTGGTCTTTGCTATAAAGGATTAGGATTTTAGGGAGTGGATGGGACAACATTATCTACTTGAGATTTGTTAATTACCACTTTTAATTATTGCATGATGGATCACTAACCATGTGCTCTGCCAATTTGCTCCCTCCCCTGTCTTAAAACTTGGATCTGTCCAGTGAGTAAATCTGGTAATGAACAGATTCAAGGCTTGAATCTGTCTAGATTAGAAAAAAAAACACAACTGATTCGACCAAAAACATGAGTTGACTTAATAACCCATCAAAACCCGACCATCACTCTTTATATCTTTTACTTTTAATTTTTTTTTTATTAAAATGGTATTTTTTTATTTAAAAAAATAAAAAAAAATTACAGATTGGATGTGCTCTTCTATTTAAAAAAATAAAAAAATTACAGATTGGATGTGCTCTTCACAATAACAACAACTACACCGTAATTTAATCAAGTTTCAGGATCTTTAAAATTTATCTACTAAGTAGGCATATAATTATAAACTAATGCGTGTAAAAACATATATATATATATATATATATATATATATATATATAAAATGTATGGACCCCAAGAGCTTCATACGAAGGAGAGATAAGGTACTTTACTCCTTTTCATTTTCGCCCGCCAAACCATCATTTGCTTCTCTCCAAAAAATTTGTCTCGCAATATGAGTAGCTATATTTATTAAGGAATTGTGTTTTTTAAAATTTTTAATTTTTTTATTTAAAATAATTTTTTTATATTTTTAGATTGATTTAATGTACTAATATTAAAAATAATTTTTTAAAAATAAAAAAATTATTTTAATATATTTCTAAATAAAAAATACCTTAAACTGTTATCATTATCACATTTCTAAATATATTCTAAATCTAATTTAGGTTACTTTAAATCTAATTCATGTTTATCTATTGCAATCTCCAGTCATGAATCACTACAAATCGATAAAAAGATATTAAAAATTTAAAATAATATTATTTTTTAAAAAATTATTGTGCTCACATGTTAACACTCTTTACTTAAATTAGGCTTCCCATTCAAGCAACCAGCTATATTTAGAATGTGTATATTTTTTATGTTTAAAAAATATTTTTGAGATATTTTAAATTTTATTTTTTAAATTATTTTTTTATATTTTTGTATTGTTTTAATAGTTGATGTTAAAAAAATAATTTTTAAATAAAAAATATTTTAAAAAATAGCATAAATATATAGATAGAGACACGGTGCATGAATGTTTTGCAAGACATAGATGCAACTAAGAGATGCTGGCAGACAAATAAATAAAGATGAGAAAAACGAGGGGAAGAAATGGAAGCAATGTTGGTGAGAAAGGGAAGAAGATGGAGGAGCCGAGAAACGAAGGTCTCCCTCCCTCCATATCACCTGCCTCCTCCTCCTTTTTTGTTATTTAAATTAATTTTCATGTGTTTTTTTATTTATTTTAATACATTAATGTTAAAAATAAATCAATAAATATGGTTCCCTGACTTGAAATAAAGTATCCCTTTGTAAGTTTTTTAATTAATTTGTCGTACTCCATCGGGGTGGTGTCATTTTTTTACCCTAGAGATTAATAACGCATATGAACATGCTTAATTAATTGATAATTAATCATATCATATATTAATTTAGTGATTTGACATTAATTAATGGATTATCATTTCTTATGTACATTTGAAATTCTTTACATATAAATAATAATATTGCAATATAAGAGCACAAAAATGACATTTTTTTAAAGAAAAAACTGAAATAATATTATTTTGGATAAAATTTTTATTAAAATCTTTAAAAATAACTTACTCAAACCTTTCAAAATAATTGCGCACTAGCAAGGAGGCATGTATATATATATATGGTTAATGTTGACAGTGTAACTTCTAATCAAACCTTTCATTCTTGATTAAAAACTGATTGACAAACCAACAATAATTGCTCTGAAATTATTTTTGAATCTTAACATCACATGGAGATGATCTCATGTACGTAATGCAATATTTTCTTGAAAAAACGTGAGATATTGGAATCTGATGGAGCAACGTCTTGGCGTCACCTGAGATGGAAGGGCATGCACGTGACATGATCTAAGCTTTCTGGTCTTTCTAATCGCATTAAATGGAGGATTAACTAACAGGGATGGTGATGAAGATGGTGATGGTGATGGTGATGGTGGAAGCTCCAAGGAATAATAAAGCATCTGGTTTATGGTTTATTTTATAAGCACTATGCTTCCCTTCCCCTTCCCCAAGTGGTGCTGGTTTTAATTAATTTTCTTTTTTGTCAGGTTTGGTCTTGGCATGGACAGCTGCACATGAGAGAAACAAAGGGGCAGTGACTCTTTAGCAGATGTAATTCAAGTTATTAAACCCAGTTTGGTACACCATCTAATCTAGACTCGGTTCAAGATCAAAGTTATGTTACTAGAAATAGAAATTATTGCTCCTAGATCATTTGTATCTATATAAATTAACATCTCAATTCATGGATCTTTTGGTTCGAGGAAGAAAACAGATCAAATTATTATTATTTTTAATTCTGTTTTAAATTTAATCAATATTAATTAATCGTATATTTCATTAAAGTTTTATGATTTAGAATATTATTTAGAATATTATTTTTTTTAATTTTACATTTGAAATTGTGGTAGGATCTATTTATTAAAAAAAAATAGACAATTAAATATATATTCAATTAGGTTGGAAACGAATATGAACAAAAGTTTCTATTTTCTAATTAAATAAAAAAGGGATAAACATAATCTTTCCTATGCACAAATTGACGTGAAGATATCTTTCAACAATCAAATCAAATAAATTGTGTATAAATACACTGTCCTCATGCATGCATGTATGTGTACTCAGAACTAAGAGGCTCTGTGGATAAAAAAGAAAGTAAAGGCATTGAAGCGTCCACGTTTCTTGCCTGCACTATATGTATATAGTAGAAGGACATGTTCATACTCGAGCAAGCTAGCAAAGAGGAAGAAATTAGCACAATTATTAAACACAACCTAACATATAAGGTCCACATCTGAATCAATTAATTAACACGGGTTAATAAAAAGATTAAAAAATTAAAATGATATTATTTATATAAAAAAAAATCAATGATTTTTTTGGCTACAATTTAAATCAAACTAGCAAGATAGTACAAGTTTGATAATGAAAAAGGAAAAGAAAGGAGATAGATAGATAGATTAATATTGGAATTGTGGGAAGAAGTGGACCCTAAAAAGAAAATAATCTATGCCATGAAGCTATCACGAGACTTCCTAGTTGGTACTTGGCCACACGTGCTCATGATCCTTGATGAACCCTAGCTAGCTAGATTATATTTTATTAACTTCAAATCCCTTAATAATACACCATGATGGATCCAAAACAAGATTTGTCATTTGCTTAATCGGAATCCCATCGATTATTAAATCCTTAGGGTCCATGGCCGTCCAAGAGAAAATTGCCCATCTAATCATCCATCAAGGATTATATCATTTGAGTTTCTTGAATGAATTTTCTTTGGATTTGACTCTTGATGATTTGCCAAATCTATGTCCTACATTTTGACAATCTTGTTGTCCGATTATGATGATCATTTGCCCTAACTTCATCATTTTTATCCAATAATTCCAAAATAATTCCAAGTCCATGAGAAGGTATTCTCAGATTCTTGACTCTTTGATTGTTTGTTTCCCAAATTTGCTTGTCATTTCAGAATCCATGATGATCAGTTCAAGTTCTAAGCACAAGTACAGTGGGAGTATTAATTGGTAAAAAAAATATTGCTGTTAATTATCGTAAACTCAAATGGGGAGTATGAAGGATTAAAGGATGAAGAAAGTTATTTATTACTGTGTAACGCAATTATTAGATCCCTGAAAAATCTATAAACTCCATTGAAATAAAATTAGAATTTCCAAAATAATTTTGGTAGTATTTAGTTATTGTTTTGAAATATATATATATATATATATAAAAAAAAAACAGAAATAACAAGGATTTGAGACAAGTATAGAATCTTACTTGAAAACTAGTCTAGAAACACATTTATTTTATATTTCTATTTATGTTTCTTAAATTAAATATGTTTATGTTTATTAGTTTCTGTTTAACTTTTTTGTCTAATTATCAATCAAGCAACAAGCTAGCTTCTTCCTCCTCTTTTTTTTTTCCTGATATAAACAAGCTAGGTATTCTGTAATCTCAAACAATTTCTTGACATATTTCAAAGATAATTCAAATTAAAGTCTATTTTTTTTTTATAAAAAGAAAAAAGATGGATGGAGGAGTTTCTTTTGCTCGGCAAAAGCTACTGTGTGATTCTATAACCATTTTTAAATTAAATAAAAATAAATAAATAAATTTGTGGACCTTTAAAACACTAGTATTTTGATTAAGAAAGGAATCTCCTGGCTCCAAGAAAGGAAAAGAAAGCAATAATCTCCCTTTTTCACAGCTTTATTCATTAATTATCTTTAATAATCTATGATAAACTAGCTTTATTAATTAACAAGACAATGCACGTATATGAATTTGAAAAATAAAATAAAAATAAAGTATAGCATTAATTATCACCACGCTGGATCAACTCTTTTATTAATTTAGAAATCAATTGGATCCATAATTTAAAGAAAGGGTTAGGTTCCATTGTTCTTAACACACAAAGCACATATTAAATATATATATCATAATGTGGACTTTGAATAAAAAAGCATTCAAAGATGAGCTTAATTAATCCTCCTTTAATTCCAATTTCCAAGTCACCCTCTAACAAGATAAGATAATAACAAGGCATCATAGACCATGCTTTATTACTCTTTTTTTTTTATTTTTACTTTTTCTTTGATTATTTTTTTTTTGCTATTAATTATTTTTTGGTGAGCTCCCTCGCCAAGACATTAAAGTAGAGAGACATAGAAGAGATGTCAAAAATTCACATTAAAATTGTTTATTTATTTTATATTTTTATCGTTGTCTCTTTAATCCATCGTATTTGTTTTTTCTATCCCGAGAAAGCAATCAAACGCTAGAACACGTTATTATTAGATATAGCTGGTTTGAACATGGTCTTGGCTTTAGCCTTTTTGTTTTAACCGTGCGTGTGTGTGAGTATTATATAGTCTAGATGATGATGGTACGTAGGTGATCGTGATGCATCAACCCTACACTTGTGGTCCATTTGTTTTTAGCTTTGGTTTTTCTTACTCGGTGAGGGTGATGGCCTCTTGCTTTCACCAATCCCCTTTTTAAAAAACCATGGCTTTGTCATCTATAAGCCTCTAAAGGTCAAATCTTTGTCCACTTATCGAAGTTTTGATGTCCCAATCTTCCCCATAATTTCAGGATTTTGTTCACAGATACCTCTATTTATTTATCTCTTAATCTTTATTATAAGAGTGGTAATGGGTGGTGAGGTGGGATGACGCTCTTGGACTGCCTTTGTGGACCGACTCTTTCCTCCACCTAAAGCACAACTTGTGTAGCGTAGTATATAATAATGAAGGTCAAGAGTCAAGAATCCAAGTGTTGCGGCTTTTCTATTTTGCTAAGCCCAAAGACGAAACTTTACAGTTTAATAACACTTGAAAGCTACTTGTGCGAAACCCACTCAAGGAATCAAAGATAAGGTTAGGCTTGATGGATACCACTTCTTGGGCTTGGGAAAAGAGCCCTTTGAAAGACATGAATGATGATGGCCCATGGCTTTTGAAGCAAGAAGGTTTGCTTTGTGATTTATTTTCTTGCGTGCATCTGTGGAGTGTGTGTTCTTGGCTTAAAAGCAGTATTATAAAACCCCTTCTATCCTCTCGAGTCAATCCAAGAGACTCACCGACTCTCGATAAGTTTTATTATGAATCGATAACGTTAAACTCAACAAACCTGACAAGCTCAAAACAACTAACTACAACTTCGGATGGGAAGTAGTTATGGCCATAGGGCAGCTACTAATTACAACTGGTCACTAAGCAATACTTATCCAAGCTGCGCCTGTTTGATTGCGTTAAGCTGGTGCTTCAGCATCTTTTTAGTATTGTACCCAGCCTAAGTTCAAAAGATAAAATAACATCATCAACATAAGAAGCTAGTACCATAGGTCCAAAGAACTGTTAGACCACAAAAACTTGATCCTTTCAATTCCTAAGACTCTTCTTTTGTTATTTCATAGGCAGCTCCCACTGATTCCACACGACACTGCTACATGGCTGGAGTAATCAAACCCTGGTCCAGGAAATTATGTGTTGTAACTAGAAAGAACCATCTCTGATCAACAAACTTTTCCATACCATCCAACAAATCTTTTTGGTTGACATCTAAACTGTGAAAAAATAGGCCTAAAATGTACATTTCTTGGTTCTCTGGTAGCATTCATCCACTATAAACCTATCATCCAATCAGGAAATCTAAGATGATTGATTTAGTACACATTACAGTAAATAAGATTCCACTTCCTTCTCCGACTGAAATGCATTAAGCCTTCCAATAGCTAGTAGAAATAACATTGCAAAAGGTTTTGGAACTAAAATGGGAAGGGATAAATCAGCAAAGGCACACGGCACTAAACGAATACTAGAATCAGCTCCTTCACGTGCATAGCAAGAAAATAGTATGCTAGAAACATAGAAGCCTTGCAACCCAGTTAACTTTTAATACTATAAATTACAGAATCTCCAAATTTAATCCCCCTTATTACTTCTTTTATTAACTTATAAGTTAATGTCCTCAAATCAAAATCAAAACCACACAATCACATTCGCCTAAATAATCACACGCACTTAAATATTGATTCTTTTTGAACTAAAGATTTTCTAAAAACTACATAATCAACAACATAAAGAGAGAGAAAAAAGAAACCCCACAACTAAATTCTCCCATATAAACACAAAATAGATACATGAAGTCCAATTCGCGCCAATAAAGATCCTTTCTTCTTGCGTTGGCTTACGCATTGAAAGTGCCAAAAAAAACCCCTCTGATCAACAAAAGCAAGATACCCCACGATTAAATTTCTCTATATAAACATAAAAATACGTAAACTTCAATCATTGAAAATAAAGATTCTATCTTTTAGGTTTTTTTCTGCTTACACATTAAAGGTGCCAGAAACGGTGTCGTTAGCAGAGCGAACAGCAGCTTCAAGATCAAAGCTACCGAAGCTTCCTAATCCATTGGTGGATTCATTTGCATCGCTTGTTGCGCATATGAGTTCCAATCAGCCAACAAAGAAGATGGGGGGTTCTCTTGTTGTTGATCTTCTCCACTGCTTGAAAACCAGCTCTGCATTGTTTCGATTGAAAATGAAGACAACCCAGTTGATGATTTTTTTTAAGGTTTGAGAATGTTGTGAAAAGATACGATCTCGGTGGTGATGCCTTAATGTTTATCAGCTTGGTGAAGAAACACCGGAGGTGGAATGGTATTTCCGTTTGAAGCTTAGAAAGAAAAAAAAAAGAAAAAAGAAGAGGGACAGTTTTAACAGGAACGGTGCCGTTTTAATTTGAGGACTAGTTTTTCATATAAATTTGATATTTAATTCGAATCAATTATTTTTATTAAATTAATTTTTACTAAATTAATTTTTTTTTCAATTCAATTTTACTAAATTAATCATTTCCACAAATCCAATTCCAAATGAATAATAACTTTCTTTACACAAATCTAAAGAAATGTTCAAGGCTTTGTGCCATCAACAGCATTAGTTCTAGAAAGAATGGATACAAATATAGGAAGCAAACTTAGAGGACTTTCAAGAGCTGCACTTCAAATATGAGAGGCTCATTCGCATGCGAGAGGAGGCTACGCCGAGGGCCAAACTGAAACCAGAAGCCATTACCATAGTCATCACCAAAATGTACAAGGAGGGCTAGCAGATATAATTCAATTAGATAACTTAAAACAAAAGAATCACTTCAATAGCATGTATTAATGTCTCGATACGAAGACAAGGAAGATTTTTATCTCATATTTGAAAATGATAAAAATTCACTTCAAAGATGTTTTATCCCTCTAACCAAATGTGTTTTTATCCTTTTTATACTTGTCTCGTTACAAAAGAGATGAAAACATTGAAGATAGGGGAAACATGTCCCCTTTACTTTTTATTTTTATTTTTTATTTTTTGATTTATGTGGGGTATCCGGGTCAGTTTGCGCGCATCACGACTAATCCCCACGGCCCACTGAATATCCTGCAAACCCAGTAAGCATGTAAGGCACCGCGGAGGTGACAGGCGTGCACGCTAGGGTTCGAATCCAAGTGTAGTGGAAGGAGACAAGCCCCTTCCACTGCTAGGCCAAGCCATAGTCTGTCTTTATTTTTTATTTTAAAATGATAAAAATTGACTCCTAGATGATTGCATTTTATGTCTTTATTTTTATCCCTCAAACCAAACATGTTTTTTCCCCTTTTATACTTGTCTCTTCTATCACGAAACACTAACCAAATGCAATCTGGGACACATCGATAAGAAGAATCACCTCATCAGGGACTGGTTTCAAGTTTTCATTTACGTATCCAACAGAAGGAGGTATCAATGCTCTTCTCTTACCTGAAAGGTGAAAGAAGGGTAATTATACAAAAGCCAGTATAGTGGGTCTATGGACAACAACAACCAATCCTCATTCTCAAACTAGTAATAAGGTCCTTGAGCATACCTCCAACCTTCATGCCAATCAAGACTTCCTTCAAGCCCTTAATAATCTGTCGAGGGAAGAAACTTATGATTTGAAAACACAACTTCGGCCACAAAAAGCTTATTAAAATACAGCATACGATGATGAAAAATTAGGATTTCAGTTCATAAGCAAGACAACAATCTTGAAGTCGGTAAGTGTGTATTTCTATAGCATGTATGATAGTTGATGGAGCCATCAGTATAATATAAAGTACAAAATATTCAATGATATGCTATTGGTTTGTTCTTGGCGGAATTCTTGTCCGGAAATGGGAGCGTTTGTTCCCCACTTTCAGCTATAAATAGAGGCAGAAGTGCAGCAACGAGTAAGCAGCAGCAGCAGAGAGATAAAGAGAGACGTGAGGCAATTACAGAGAGTCAGGAGTTGAGTTGAGGGGTGTTCCTCCTCCTCCTTTGTTGTAATTGTATTTTCTCTCTATTTAATGAAATTGGTTGCTCTGTGGATGTAGGCAACTGCGTAGAATTCTTATGCTCTCGCAGGTCCTAACACTTTCAAGTCCATTATCTTAACTTCTACCATACCTGGTTCTCATCCAAAGGAAGTATGACAGGCGAGCTTTCGCCGCTGAATTGATCCACGGTGCTGCATTAATGCATGGTTAGAGAACAAGATCAGCCTCGTTAATAGCTAATAAAGGATAGTAAGAGTATGTCAGCAAAACTAGTCATGATATGTGACAGCACAAATGATTCACAAAATCAACAGATATTCAAGCAAGACATCTAAAACCCACATGAAATTTAGACAACAATCACCTATGAACAAAATATCCATTTGAACGCCTGCATACGTAGTTAACTTCAACTGTATCTCCCTCTTGAGCTTCTGGCCCTTCCCCTTCAATAATCTCTATATATAAAAATTAGTAAGTTGTAAGTTCAAGTAAAACGCAGCTACTTATGCAAGATTAAGAAAGTAGATACCTTGAAACCTAACCCCATTGGCAAGCTTCAGTGTCCTGAACACTTCAAATTCCAATCAAAACAATCATATCAGAGCTACTAAACAGTATTGATAAAACATCTTCTAAGCCCCCAAAAGATCAACAATGATAAACAAATGAGCTGGTAGCTACGACAAACAAGAACTTACCGAATAACTTCAGGCTCCTTCATCTCTGGCATCGGGGCAGCCAAAACTGGATTGATGGATAATAGGAGAGTATTGAATCCACAAAATTTCAGCACCATCCTCCTTGATAATCTTTTTATTTCCAGTGAAGAAAATTTGCAATGCAAGTCCATGGGCATCGCATCCTTGGGTCTGGTACTGCTGGTTTGTGCAGGAGTCACAACATCATCAATCAATGTGAACTACTTAGCTGTTTAAGCTGTCATTACACTTCTTTTCTGTGTTAAACATAGTATTATAACATTCTAGTCAATTGTCCTCCATTAACAAGCACTCAAGCAGCAGAACCATCAAGCAAAATCCAGTGTTCCCTAGATCCTAAAACTGGTTACGATGAAATAAAATGATGAATTGAGAACATAAGCATTTCATAGTACTACAAGTCACATAAACTTCATTCTGGTAATAGTTGAATGTGAATCTTACACATACAATTACATGATGAATTGAGAAAACAAAAAAACAGGAATCTTTGAGGATATTTACCTTGTAAATTTGGAAGCGCAAGGGAAGTGAAGCAAGGTTTGGAATGGAAGTGCATACATCATCGAAAGACAGCATCAAATGGATGGTCTCAGAAGGTGTTAAATAATGGATAACATGGTCAGCTGAGTGGACTTGGTTTGTTGAGGCATGAAGGGACTAGACCCTGTCAGGATACAGTAGCTAGCATGAGTATTATTGAACCAAAGCTGGATAACGGGTCAACTCGGTGACCCTAACTCGGACTCGGTTTCATGTCGACTCCGTCAAAGCTTGAGGGAGACATGAATTGACTTTTTTTATATAACAATAAAAACAAAATCAAGCAGTTTAGATTTTTTTTCAAAAAATACTTAGAAGAAAACTTGAAATAATATTATTTTAGATTAATAATTTAACTTATCTAATCTATAACTCAAATTTTGTATTGAGTCGAGATTTATAATTAGCTGACATTTGGCAATTTGTAGCGCCCCATATATATTTTGGACTGTCCTCTTGGATTGGGCTCCCATAGCTCATTCTCGTGTGCAACTTCGGTGAGTAAATAGCTGCCTTGCCAGGTTATACATACATACATATATATATATATAGGGGAGGGGGGGTGGGGGGCGCAAATGACAGAATTATAGTTGCTAATATCTCAATGTAGAGAAGATGAATACAAAAGAAGTAAAAATGTATTTAATTTAAGACTAAAATGAAAATATAAGAATAGATTTAATAATAAAATAGTTTTGAAATAAAATTTTAACATACATGTCATCTCTATTCTAGCCTTACAAAAAAGACTTGATTTTCATTGTGAATTATGAATTCAGATAATGTCTTTGATTATTTGGTTCTTAATTGCATTTAATAATTGTTGTGAAAGTGGGGTAGAGTTGTCTTTTTTTTTTGAACTATTTAAAAGCATGTTTGATATTATAATAGCTTTTGTGGTTGTGGTTTAAATTTTTTTTAATAAAAAGTACTTTTTATGAGGTTGATTTTAAAAAAAGTTAATGTTTTGTTAAAACCGTGGTTAAAATTATGGTTTTAAAAAATAATTTCTTATGTTTGGTTAAAAAACTGTAGTTGAAATTATGGTGGAAAAAAAAACAATTTTGTGTTTGGTAAAATTGTGATTTAAATTGTGGTTAAAAAAATAATTTCTTGTGTTTGGTTAATATGCTTTGTGTTTGATATTTTATTTGAATTAATTAAAAAGACATATATAGACACATATATATAATTCCAAAACATAGGTGTTTTGTAATTATGATTACATAACAAAATGAGGAATCCTCATAATGTACTCCTTTATTATTCCATCAAACTATTTACAATTCCATCGCATATAAAATCCATACGTGAAGGCTTCTGTGAGCCTTGAACGATCAAAGCCTAAACAATATTAGGTAAAAATTCATCTGGAATTAAATTAGGGTTGCGATCATACTCAGAAAAAACTGCATCATCTTGCGATCTTCTTCTAATATAGTTATATTGTGCTATTGATGCAACTACAATCTCAACTTGTATTTTGTATGGATAAGTAGGCATGTTTTGTAAAATTTTCCACCTCTGTTTCCATACTCCAAAAGACCATTCGATCACTTACATAGTGACGAGTGTGCAAGATTAAACACTTCTTTCCAACCATTTGGTTGTCCACGACGCCTAAATTCTTGGAAGTGATACCTCTCGCCTTTGTAAGGACCCAAATACCTATACTCATTTGGATATCCAGCATCAACCAAATAGTATTTTCCTACAAATAATAACATGGTAATTTTAAACAAAACTTAAAAAAAAAATTATATTCCTTCAATTACCAAATCTTCAATTTAGTCAAAATCACAACCTTCCGGAGGTTTTGGAAATTTGATAATGCTATTGTCAATAACCTCAAGAAAAATATGTATATCGTGTGCACTGCCTTCCTATCCTGCCCACATGAACATGAATTGCATGTCGCAACTAAAAGCGGCCATGACATTTTGTGTTGGTACACCTTTTCTTCCAATAAATAAAATCTGATTTCCAGATGGCAGGTAGGCACGAACATGTGTTCTATCAATTGCACCGACACAATTCTATAGGCCAGAAAAACATTAAGTACTCATAAACATTTATAACATATTTCATACTCCTTTGAACAACTTAATTAAACTTAATTAAACTATTTAACTATATAAAAATTTATCTTACCTTGAAATGTGGCATAAATCTTGGATTCATAATAGTTTTTCTTGGTGTGCTTATAAATTATGGATCTACTGGTTTTATGACTTCCACAGCAGACAAACGTAATGATTTAAACACTTCTTTAAAACATCTACTAATAGTTTCACCTGAATGCTGGAATCTTTTCTACACTTGTCTATTTGATGCCTAACTACTATTGTAAATAAAAACATTGCCACCTTTTAAATAACGCTTATTCTTCTTAACGATTTTAAGCCATGGTGCGTGCGTTTCTAATTTAGTGCATAGACTCAACAAAGTGGTTGCATTCATCCTAAACATGTTAATACTTTGTTTCCAATGACCTCTTAAAATCTCTGTCAATCAACACATCCATGTGTTATACGAAACTATACATGGTTTTTTATACATATAATTAATATAATATATGTTTATAGCTCCAACTGTGCATATAATTAATTTTTTCATATCAAAATGCCTTCTTATAATAAATGCATCGTCACCATCACTGTCATCGTCACCGTTATCATCATCATCATTATTATCATTGGAGTCATTTCCATTACTGTCATCTCCGGCACCATCAACTAAGGCACCACTACCTTGACAACTAGGATAATTAATGTGGTCTACAATGTTGTTCATTACATTATCATAATTACCATCGAAATCTTCATTAAATATGTCATTAAACCGTGGATCATCTATAACTTCAATTACATGTAAACAAGAAAAAAATTATATGTTGTCAATAAAAAAAACTTGAAATAATTAAATATCTTTCAATAAAAAAACTATCAAAGAGTTGGTGCGACATAGGTTTTTTCCATACCTGTAATGTCAACAAAAAAAGAGTATTCCACTTGCTTGTATAAAATACAATTGAGAGGTTTGAGAAGTTTGTTATGAAGGAAGAAATGCCAATAACATGTATAGTCCCATCAAACCTTATGACAATAAAGAAAAAAACACCAACAGTAACTGTAAATGGGGTTTCTTTTCAGACCTCACAAGCTTAAAGTAGTTACAAATAAAAAAAATATATAGCTAAGGAAAGAAACACTAGCAACATGTATAGTCCCATCAAACCTCACGGCAGCAAAGAAAAAAACACCAATAGTAACTGCGAATGGGATTTCTTTTCAGACCTTACAAACTTACAGTAGCTACACATGAAAAAAATACAGCTAAGGAAAGAAACACCACCAGCATGTATAGCCCTATCAGACCTTACGACAACAAAGAAAAAAACACCAACAGTAACCGCAAATGGGGTTTTTATCTTCTAAACAAACTAATTTTCAGGCCTCACAAGCTCACAGTACCTAGACCGACCTATAATAGCTGAAATATTACAAGAAAACAAGCATTATAACATGAACAATCAAGTTTAGTTTTGACAGGGAACAAAATAGTGAAGGTAAATGAACAACTAATTCCATTAAAGGGTCAACCATTTAACATTAACCATTGAACATTGTAATTCGTAGATAAAATACAACATTAAAAACTAGCAATTTCTCATTCAAGTTTGTTAACTCTCAAAAAGCAGTTTAATAAATACAACAGTAAAAAAATTACCGCAAATAGATATGCTCATATGTCTTCACATGAAATGTGAAATAATACGATGTCTCGGACAAATTTCGGCAAATGAAAACTACTATTTTTAAAACCAGCATCCCATTATTCTGCAACAATAAAATAAACATGTATAAATACCATACACACTTGAACATAGTTAATTGATTAATAGTTAAGAAACTTAAATCATACCATATTAGCTAAGCACGTTTAGTTCATGCATACATTCGTTGCAACCATCTCAACTTCTTTTGTTTATCACATATACTGGCCCACATTTCTCTTTTCCTTCCTAAACTCATATATTTCGTAGCAAAGTCATGAAACTCATCTTCAATTAAAACTCCAGGAATTGAATGCAGCTCAGCCATCACATCATGAATACTATAACCTTTGCGATCCATATTCACATAAGTGGAATCACTCTTAGTCGACATCCTCTCAAGTAGTTGATTACACCTTTACAGCAGCTGTACACCAATTCCAAAAGTTCTTTTCTTTCCACCTTGGACCTAATCTCATTCTTTTCTTTTGCCACCACTTATTGTGTTATTGCTGCAAGACATATTTATCTCTTCAACCATTTGAGCCATATTAGTTTGGAAATCTGGATTCACATCTTTCTCTGAATCACTGCTTCTTTCTTCCAAACCATCACGAGCAATGTTGGCATTGCTTGTACTAGGATTGACATCACTTCCAGCAGGTACTCCTGATGAAGGAGCCCGTGCAAACTCTCTAGTTGCGACAATGTTGGAATACATTCTGTTAAATTTATTTTTCAATGTTGTTTCAATACCGACATGTCTGGATTTTTTTGCTCCTTTAATTTCCTGCATTTAAATGAAATTAATTAATGAAAGAGCATGTAAATTTTTTTTTTCTGAAATTTGACAACAATAAAAGAAATTGTTAGGATGACAAGGAAGTTACCTGAATTTTTTGTTTAAACCACTCATTGCTAGCAAAAATTGTTCCTATTTCACTATTCCAACCAACACCAGGTTCAGAAACCAACTTATTCTATATCCTCTAATTCTTTTTGCATCCATCCCATCTGTTTTTCAATTGTGTTTTAGTGAATGCATGGCCAGTTCGTTCTTTGAATGATGCAATAAGAAACTTCCACCCTATTTTATCGAAATGAGTATTAGGTCTCATTCCCATATGAATGGCCTTAATACATATATCACAAAATATATCAAACATTTCCTTTGTCCAAGCAGCCTTATCCAAAGATTCAGGACTTTCTATGATATTTTTTAAAACATTTAACAAAATTTTAAAATCAATCAATGATATCAATTACATTGTAGGACATATATAACCGTGGATTCAACCAATACAAAAACAAGTAATTTTCTGTATTTACAAAAGGTGTGTGGTTAGCAACAAACATTGATTATGCATTTAATTTGAATGAGAATGTTCCTGTCAATTCCAAGTAAACCAGAAAGAGTTGCAATTTATCATGAAACTAATTCAAACCCATTATTTTTCAACTGTGCATAACACTCAGTTTCTGTTTACTTCTTTTAAAGAAAATCATTATCGTCATCATGGCTGTTTGGATTCTCAAAAAACAGAGAAAAAAAATCAAGAATTTATTTTTAGATTCAAATTAACACACCTTTCTTTCTCAGTATGCAAGCACATAAATGAAAAATCAAAGTTCTGATTTCCTTAAGAAGTAGAGATGAAAGTAATTGATAGTGTGAATTTGGATTAATCCTACACAACATGCTAACAGGTCACATTGAAATGCTTAAATCATAACAAATGACTTAAATCCTACTTATCTAGAAAATAAACAGCATAACATGATCATTAATACATGTATGAGTCCATATATTGTATTGCAAATGAACAAAAAGGATGAGAAAAAAGCTAAAACCACATTCCTATCTAGTGACATCACTAAAGGGAAAAAATTCTAGATAAACAGACTGCATGATGAACATAATTTATATTGCAATAATTATTTACAAGTCATTTTGTGTTACTATATTGTGCACAAGATTATCACAGTTCATCATAATATCCATGTTCATTATGACAAATCATAAAAGTGTGAGCTATACTTAGAAAAACAGATTTCAATAAAAAACAACACATAATTACACACAGTACAAAGACTATGCAGCATCATAAAAATGAAATTTTTAGCTCAAGTAAAAAAAATTAAAGAATGCACATTACAAATTATGAAACAGCACAGAAATGCAATGAAATTTGCTCAATTAAATTAATTAACAAAGGCACAATAAGTAGAAGGGAAGCAGAAACATCAAACTACTCTTTTTAGCTCAATTCACACAAACCAAGAACGCACAGTAAACAGATCATGTAGCATCATAGAAATGCAATTTTTAGCTTAAAAAAATAAAGATAGAGATAATGGAGAGACAGATCGGTGAAGGTTTGGGTGATGATCTTTATGGGTGTTTGGAAAGAAAAGGGACTGGGGAAGAAAGATGCCTCAGAATTGGTGTTGTCCTGTACGTGGTTGTTTTTGCAAAATTTTAAAACAGGGTCGTTGTCGGCAAGAGACGAGAGAGGGGAACAGTCTGGGGAAGGTGGAAAATGCGAGTTTGTAGATTAATGGCCAAATTGATATGCCAATTAATCGTGCTGTGAACAATTTTGGGTGAGGAATGAGAAAGTTTGGGAACCATTGGAAAAGTAAGGGGAAAGTGTCGGTGATGAGAGAGAGAAGAGAAAACGCATGAAAAGTAATGGGTAAGTAAGGCAAGTTTAGGTATTTACTTTGTAAAATATATAGTCAAAATATTTATTCAAAGCTAAAAAAATTTGACCTTTAGTTTAGGGTTTGTTGTGTTTTTTCTAATTAATTTGTATAATTAATTATCGATTCTACCCTTCCAAAAAATATCGAACTTGCAAAAAGGTTTTTTTTTTGTCTTTGCACAATTTTGGAATAGTTAAATTACATATATAACCTTTAACTAAAAAACAAAAATATAGTTGATTGGAAGGACATTGTAGGCTTTGCAAATTAGTTCTTTTTGTAATATTCATATGTCCTTAGATCCTGATTAGTAATCTTAATTTTTTAAATATTAATAAATTAATTAAAAAAAATTAGGGGTGTGTTCTTGGATCAACGTCTTGTATACCATTCTGGAGGCATGTGGAACATATTCTAGTAATAAAAAACTTTCAATTGCCATCTTACTAATGCGATAGGTGGTGGCGCAGCTTCTAAAGTTGCACGTCTAGTTAGTATTATGGTGGTCAAGACTATAAAGTTTTTTTCTCTTTTTTTTTTCTCCTGGGTCTTGGTATTTGTGTGGAGCTTTTAAAATTTTAGTGGCGTCATTCAGTTTGTATTTTTTATAATTTGATCCTTATTTTTTTAATTTTTTTAATCTAATGCTTCATAAAGTTTATTTTGTTTTTTTTTTCTTATTTTGTCCCTCATCATTTAATCTTATTAGATTTTTTAATCTAATCTGATCCTTATTTTTATTGCTATTTTTTTTTATTTTTATCAATTAATTTTTTATTTTATCCTTTGGAAATTAATATAAATTTATTTGATTTCATTTTTGGTCCTTATTTTTTATTGCTCTTTTTTGTCATTTTCTTCTTTTATTATATTTTTCAATTTAATCCTTAATTAGTTTACTTCAATTGTTTTTTGTGTATGGTCTAGTCCCTATTTTTTTTTAATTTTTATATGATTTAAAATTTTATTTTGTGATTTTTGTGTGTTTGCTTTTTATATGGTAATTCCAATTTCATAACTCGATACACCAATTTTAATGATAAATTCAATTTATTTTTTATTTTTAAAATCCTTAATTTTTTTTTATTTTTATTGTTTGACATTGATTTATTGAATCTTGAGTTTTTTAATTTGTTTTTTTTTTATTTGATTATCTTTATCTTGTATCTTTGGTTATAAATCAATTGTGTTAATCTAAATTGATTCATTATTTAAAATTTTATTTTATTATATTATTTGTTATTAAATTATTAATTATAAACATGTTTTATTATATATTATTTAGAAAAAAAAAACAATTGATGCATATAATACACATTTCCACATGATAGGTTATCTCAATTTCGAGTTATTCAAGTTAACTCATATTTTAATAAATTTAACATCATCTGTCTCCTATTATTACTGTCTAAATATTATTATTTATTGTTTTTGGTTAAAAAGACGCCTATCTAGTAGGGACCAAAACGCTACATTACATGTCTAACTTTTACATATATACATATCTTTTTCAGAGCACTTGGTTCCAACAAGAAGACCAGAAAAAGCAAAGACTAAAAGCAGGACAGTAGCAATTTTCTATTGACACCAAGAATTGACTTGAAAGTCAGCTTGACTATAGCAAGCTATATTACAAAGAATAAGATATGAAATACTACCAAGATTACGTCCTAGTTCACTCCACTTGCAGGAAAAGATAATGTCGATATAATAACAGTTACCCCAAGCACATAATCTGATAGAACAAAATAAAAGAATTTTGGACCATTATGATAAAACGCTGTAATGAATATAATCTCTAGCTTTTGCTAGACACCTACCTAGGCCACTCCATTGAGAAATCCAGCAGCTGCATGCTGTTTGCTGAAACCATTGCGGCAGCAGGTTCTCAGTCACCCTTCATTTCGAGGTCTCACAGGGTCGTCTCTGTGCATCTTCTGCAACTCTCAGTTCCAAATCCTCCAAGGCCTGACTGCTAGTAATAGAAGTTTCAGTAGCATTGGTGCGCATCCAAGCTTCATGGAGTTGCAAGACATATTCCAAATGCCACAAAACTTCCCCCATGGTTGGACGATTCTTTCCCTCATCAGCAAGGCATTTTTCTGCTATCTCTCCAAACTTCTTCAATGACTCCGGGCAAGAATTTCCTCTGAGACGTGGGTCAATGATGGTCTCGAGTGACCTCTGCCGCTGCCACTTCATTGCCCACTCTGCGAGGTTGATCTGGTCTTTTGGCAAACTTGGATTTATAACAGGTCGAGAGCATACAATTTCGAACAACACCACGCCGAATGAGTAAACATCAGATTTCTCAGTCAAATGCTGTCGACGGAAGTATTCAGGATCAAGATATCCAAAGCTCCCTTTCACTGCTGTACTGACATGTGTATGGTCCAAAGCTGGACCATCTTTAGACAACCCAAAATCTGCCATTTTTGCTACAAAATTCTCGTCAAGCAAAATGTTGGTTGTCTTAACATCCCTGTGAATTATTCCTCGATCTGCTCCTGTATGAAGGTAATGAA